TAATAAAGAGAGTACCTGAGAAGTATTTTTTTAAACTCTTAGTGATATCTGTAACTCAAATTTTTCTTAGGTGAGGAGGATTATTAACTGGCACAAAGAAAAAAAAAAAAATATATATATATATATATATTTTTAATCTTATAGAAGAGAATATACACAACTCAGAGATGCAATGGATAATAAAGAGAGTACCTGAGAAGTATTTTTTTAAACTCTTAGTGATATCTGTAACTCAAATTTTTCTTAGGTGAGGAGGATTATTAACTGGCACATATGTACTCAAAACCCCTCACTTAAAAATGGCAGTCTCAATCCTACTGTCATCCTTTTTATTTTAAAATAAATAAGCCTATCTTTTTTGTGCTTACATACTTCAAAGGATGTCATTAAGTATATAAACAATCATTACTTCTGTATTTTTAATGAATGCAGGAAAATAATATTTTTATGTATAAAAGATGAGAAAATTTTGCAAGTCTTTAAACACATAAATACAACAGAAGAGCAACCCAATTTTTGTCTGAAATCTAAATTGGATTCATTTGACCATCATTCTATTATCTTTGATTCCTACAATGTCTATATCTTATGACCTATAACTGTTAATTTTTCATAGAATTATAAATGTCATTTGACTATGTCAGTCTGTATATATTGTGCCTTAATATGAAAAACAAATTTTTAATTCATAAAAATATTTTTATTAGATTTCATATACATGAAACCCAAGCAAATTTTATGAATTTATTTTACTATCTGAAAATGTTCATACTACCAATAATGTGGACAAATTACTCTGCAGGTTTCAATATGCCTCTCTAAAGGAAGAGTCTCATTAGACAGTGATTTTTAAAGCATTGGAAAAACATTTTGCCTGTAAAAGTTAGCAGTTATCAAGTGGTTCACAAAATCACAACATCAAAATAGTTACATCTTGTGAAAATATATTATTTTTATGTCAATCAAGACAAATGAAATATATATGTATGTGTATATATATGTATATATGAAATATATGTGTGTGTGTATATATATATATATTTCTATGAAATTGTCCAGATGTGTTCAGGAACATGATTGCATTAGAGCAATGACTGTATTTTGTTGTCCTTATAACATTTATACTCTTTTGATTTTAAGTCAAAAGGTATTCTGAATATAATAAAAGCCTCACAAATTATTTGTAAAATTTAGTGGTTCATATTTAGTATATGAGTAATAGAGAAGACATCTTTATAGTCAACTCTTAATAAATGTTTATTGTACCAAATCTTTGAGATATTTGTACCTAAATGAAATATGTACTTTCATGCTAAAATTATGTATCATGACTATGCTATAATTTGGCATGTCATTATCTAGATTTACGTGTATGTATGTATTTCAGGTCCTTTAAATTTTATTAAATATTACAGTTAAATCCTGATATGACATAGTTACCTGCTAAGATGAGTAGTTGTTTCTTTCCCCAAAACACCATTGAAAGACAAGTGTTTCTCCATAAATGCTTGGATCAGAGTCATCAGAGGTGTGAAAGGGCTAAGCTGTCCAACTGAGTTGTTACCCTACTCAGTAATCTAGGAAAATCACTTCATTGAATTGTTCCAGAGGCTGATTCTTCACTTTAGAAACACTGACTACAATATACCCCACAATTAGTATAAAAAATGGAGAAAGTGCTTACTCATTAATACAAATTCTATGTCATAGTAGGTTCTATTCCCATAAGTATTCTTTCAATTGAAAAGTTTCTATTCCTATAGCAGCTGCTATAGTTCCTAGAAAATTTCATTGCTTCCTTCTGTCAAAGATTCTTTTGAAGTAAATGGTCTTTCTAAGATATGCCTGTAGTGTTGGCTTCTGTTGCACAATTCGTCCTCAAGAAGCTCTTGAGGTTACGCACTTTGACCATCCTTGGTATCTTCATTTACATAATCACTATGTAATGAAGCCTACAGACTATTTCCTATTTTCCACAATCTGTATAGGTTCCACAGGATTCTTGGGAACTTACCATAGTCGGGTCATGAGTGATGAGCTCTTTCAGGAGATTGAACACAGCACCAAGAGGACAAAGAAACTTACTATTTGACTCTACCCAAAACTAACCCTCTTCTGTGGATCTTTTTCATGACTGAGCTTCAAAGACTTGTTTCTCAAACCTTTTCCAAAGGAACTATATAGGTTAAAAATTATTCTCATATTTTGCACTTTAGATTGTCCCATGAGAATGCAAGACAACAGATACATTACTTATAGCTGGTTAAGAGATGCATTTGACCTAGATCTCTTACCTCAGATAAAACTGGATTTTGAACACATTCCCAGTAAGTTACCTGTATCATCAGGGCTTTCTTAGTCTTCTTAAATATTATCTATCTAAAAATGCAAAATTTAACAAGGAAGTCTCTGAAGGTAGAATTGCTAATAAAACAGTGTGAACTTTCAAAAGTGCAGAAAAACTGGTAAGTTTAGCTGGAAATTGACATTAGTAATATTCATCTTGGAAGTCAAATGAGACTGTTAATGAGCTAGTATCAAAACATAAATAATACCAGTTGAAAATTTTTCACATATAAAATATAAAATTACCATGAATATATAAAAGATTATTAGTTTTTCAGGACATCAGTCTGCTTTTGTTTCCCTTCAGTTAAAATATGGGGCATAGCAGCAACCAGTGGGAGCTTTTTAATTGAACTAAATGTATTGCTAAACACCAGAACCAAGTTCCAAGAAAAGGATGATTTTCTTTCTTTCTGTCCCCTTGTTTTCAAAAGAAGGGACACCTATCTTTTTAATGGTTTAAGTTCAGGCTGTTCTTAGAGATGATCAAGGTGTTCTATGGGCCATAGTATAATAATCATTCAGAATAAAATTTAATTAATGAATGTGATATGTAACTATATAATAGGCAAAGCAATAACTTTTCATTTCTAATAAGGAAAACATATTAAGAAGTAGATTTACCATTCCTACAAAATTATTAGAAAGAACTCTTACTCATCATGGTGAATTATGTTTATACCTTTAAAATTATTTTTGCTCATTCTGTATTAATTTATTTAATTTTGTATTTTCAACAGTACCTGGCATAGGAGTTTAATAAACAAATTGAATGGAAAAGAAATGTTCTTTAACACAATTATGGAAAAGACACCACTCTATTTATTATTGAAATACATTCAATACTGGGTGATTCTGTTTCTTTATTATGGCGAGAGATGATGGCATCATTTCTTCAAAGTCATTTGACAGGTGCTTTTCAAGGTTTCTTTTCCATGTTTCTGATAGGTTTCATAACAGAGTAATGAGAATGTTGTCCAGCTTGCTTCACATGTATTTCTCTGTGTGAATTGCCACCATTACCTATATTTGCTAGGGCATTTAAATAAAATTAAAATCAATTCATGGTTACTAAATATTTATACAAGCATCAACATGTCTAATATATCAAATATATGCAGAATGATTGGCAACAGGTCGAGCACAGTTAATCTAAATGCCTGGTAAACAAGAATATTTAAATCACGGATTATAGTACTCATGGATAAAAAAAAGTCTGAATGTCAGCCACTTCCAAAAGTCATCAGCCTAAAAATCTCCAGGGTTTATTTTGGTGCATCTGATACTGAATATGACCCAACTATTCTTAGATATTGCTTCAGAAAGCAGCTGAGGCAACACTAGCACAATTTTATACTTAGATTTGACAAACGTCCATGATTCATAATACAGTTTTTGGAACTC